CCCCCCCCTCCCCTCTAGCGGCTGGTGCGCCGTCCGCGGCTGACGGAAGGGGGGGGGGCACCAGCCCCCGCCTAGACGTCCGCCGGAGAGAGCAGACGCGTAACCCTCACTCACCGACCGCACCCGATCGATGCCTCTAATGGTTGTCATGGTAACATTGACTGTCGGTGACGTCACGGCGCCTGCGGCCGTGCAAGGTCACGGGAATCACGGCACCTCATGACCGGGTCACCGGCGGGCGGCGGTCACGTGACGGGGCCGGCCGGCGGCGCGGAGATGAGCCAGCCGCGTCCGGTGGGTCGACAGCCGCCGCCTCTTTTGGGCCGGGAGACAGTGAGGCATGACAGGAGTCTTCCGGCGGGCTGTCAGGAGCTGGAAACACACGACAGGTGGACTTTACGCCAGCAATGAATTATTTAATTTCGACCTCCGGACTGTGTCATTCTGCGGCGGCGGAGCGTCCGGCATGCCGATCAATACACTACCCAGGCCGCGGCGTGTCTCGCGTCATCGAATCAGTTACCGCCGCACTCCGCCAGCTGCCCAGCCCTCAAAACCCGCCGCGGCCGCCAACAAATATACGAAAAGAAAACAGGCCAGCATGTCGACCGCACTACATTTCCTTGTTGGTGTTGACTGACGCCGAGAATAGCTGCGCCGCTGTGTTGTTTGGCGCTGAGCGCTGCCGGCGCGACGCCTCGACCGGCGGTATTCTTGCCGCCGCGGGCGGCGCGCGGGCCGCCGTGACGTCACAGCGGTGCGGCGGGCGCTCAACCTTGGCGCAGCCGGCGCGGCAGAGGAGCGAAGCCGTCGCGGGCCGGTTGGGCGCGCCCAGAGCCGGCGGCGCTGCATTGGCGCGTCGTGTGTGGGGCGCTGGCGGGGTAACCCTGTGACACGAGACTGGGAGGGGGGGGGGGCCGAGGGGCATGTGTGCTCAGCGGGTCCCAGGGGAGCGGGCGGCCTGTTTGGCGTGACGCGACAGAATTTCGTCGGTAAATACAGGAAGCGAACCATGTATGCATGTGATGGTTCCGTGCTGGCCTCGCGGCAAGCGAGACGGGTGGCATCCGTCCGTGATTGGAAAATGTGGCGTCGTGCACGCCAGGCAAAAGTCGAATTACGCTAACCTTTCGGGCTTGATGGCAACGACGCCGCGGTCAGCACGAGCTTGTGGAGATGACGGTCTAGGAGAGGTTTGCGGAAAGATCACGGGCGTACACAGGGGGCATGGGGAGACGGTCCACACTCTCACCTTAGCCACCGTGCGTTGGCCACAGTGTGGAACTAAAGTCCCGCTAAGAACAGTTCATTTCATGTCAAGAACTTCATAACACCAAAACGTCCCACAGGGAAGCCTTCGGGAAAGGCAAGCACTGCGTTGAGATCGTGGACAGCAACTACTTCCCAGAGATGCCCTGCGAGACCTCCCGTCGAATCTCCTCAATTTATTTAATTTGAATCAAACTTGATCTAGTCGATTCAACTTAATTCCACATTAATAACTCAAACAACACAAATGTAGATAACTGCCAGCGTCATCACCTGCAATGGATGCATCACGAGGTCATAGAGGCTTCATTGATTTTAATTGCCGAACATTTCACGATCATTGGTGTCCATCACCGGATCATCTGTGAGGGATTGTTGTAACGAATAGGTCAGCGCGGGCTTTCGCAGCTAGAGGCCGTCGTTAAGGGAAGGTCCACGCGAGTCTTCGCAGCTAGAGGCCGCTTTAAAGGGTGAGTCAGCGCGAGTCTTCGCAGCTAGAAGCCGTTGTAAGGATGGGTCAGAGCGAGTCTTCGCAGCTAGAGGCCGCTTTCAAGGGTGGGTCAGCGCAAGTCTTCGCAGCTAGAGGACGTTGTAAAGGGAAGGCCAGCGACTCTTCGCAGCTACAGATCGTTGTACAGTATAGGTCAGCGCGAGTCTTCGCAGGTTTCCAAGGTGAGTGGGTGAGTGAGAGAGGGAGAAAGAGAAGGAAAGAACGAGAGAGAGAGAGAGAGAGAGAGAGAGAGAGAGAGAGAGAGAGAGAGAGAGAGAGAGAGAGAGAGAGAGAAGAGAGAGAGAGAGAGAGAGAGAAGAGAAGAGAGAGAGAGAGAAGAGAGAAGAAGAGAAGAGAGAGACGGGAGGACAGAGAGAGGCAGACAAATTAGTGGGGACGAGGCGGAAGAAGTCAGAGATCTTTTATAGAAGGTGGGACCAAATCGAACTTTGTGGTCCATTCTTTCATTGCACACGATCGATTCAATATTAAACTTCGACGAATGGCGAGGCGGTGCCTCTACCGGAAGCCCCCTTCCCCTCCCCGTCCGTCTCTATGTCTGTAGAAATAGAGAAGGGAAGTCGGGGCGGAGCTAACGGGGGGAGAGCAAGAGCTAAAGAGCGAAAGATATGAAGACGGAGGTGCCAGACGGCGTGGTGCTTTCAACCACGGAGCCCGGGCAGCCGCAGACTGCAGAACTCTGTGGTCGGTGCAGCGGCGGTGGCCAGCTGCCAGCAGCAGTGCTGCTCAGAAGAGTGACCTCAACTTCCGATCTGTCCATCAAGTAACTTTGTGAACGGCGAGGGGACCGGACCAGGCTCCTCCCCGGAGTGGCTGAAGACTTTTAAATGCTTGCAAAGCATTGTGCGATGCTTGCCAACCACCTGCATCCTCGCGATCAGTGGCGAAGGCACCGCTAACTTCCAAGAGGGCGTTCGACAGGTGCTTCTTTCGTCTCGGAAGCCGGTCAGATCGGCCGCTTAAACAATCTGGCGGCAGAAAGATGCCAGTGCCTGAGCCATATCGGAGTGCAGAACATTGTAAGTATCAAGGTTGCACCAGCGTGTTATGGTCACATGCAAGCAGCCGACAACATGCTTTAAGACCTAATGGATAAATGCGAATTTGACAGCGGTCGCCCAGTAACTACTCTGTAGCATACGACCGTGTTTAAGAATTATCAGTTGCTACATATGAGCAAAAAGGAAATACGAGTGCATTGTTGAACCACAAAAGGCAATTAATGTTGGTCGAAAAACACTAAAACCTCGTGGCATGGGAGCGTATGATTGACAGGGAAGCAGAACATCGCTACGGTTATGTCAAATAATGTATTTTTTGCATATATTGGCCGACACCAGCATTGCCATGAGCAGCAACAGTTGTGCCTATTCTGTGCAGCGTCATTGGCATCATGACAAACAAAGACACTTTATTTTCTAAGCGTTGTATTATAGTTAGTTCGTAACCACCATATTCTATAGGACGTGTGACGCAAAAAATAAACCGCATTCACGAGGTGCAATCAGTCAACAGTCACACTCGCTTCCTCCTTTTAACCGGCAAGAAGAAAAGAAGTGTGTGGAAAGGAACTGACAAGGCTACATCGTGGGTTGCCAAAAGTTGTTAAATGTGTGAAAGGTGAATAGGGGCAGTTCGAAGATCACACCTACAAGAGCCGCTTCATGACACGTCCGAAAATGACTGGAAAATATGTGCATTAGTGCTCGTAACGTATAAGGAGCTGTCTGAATGTCTACCACACGCTTTCATGTTTCACGTCCTTGTGAGGTCGGGCATCACTATCACCGGCACGTCCGTTACACACGTCCTCAGCGTCGATCACCCAGCATCCGCCGGCACCTGCCGTTCGTTCCGAACGCGGCCGTGGTGAGCGTCGCGGGTCAGCCTCAAGGTCACCATCTCGCGCCACGTGATGGGGCCCCATCGTGTCCTCGCCGCGCCCGGGCGGCTGGGCCGCACGCGAAAGGCTTGTCGCTGAGGGATTGCGCGACTCGGTGGGCCGCGTGCCAGGCGGGCCTTTTTTCGGCGTGACCCACTTCGCCTGGTGACAGCGCCACCGCCGGACGCTGACGGACGCTGAGCCGGATCGAGAGGTGCAGCCGCTGGTGCCGAGTGACGAACGGGGATTGGTGTCAGCGGGGTGACCTTCGAAACTGATCAGAGGTCAGGCGGCGCCTGCGGCTGCGCCCGTCTACCGGCGCTGATGACGACAGGCGCCACGCGCTGGCCAACGTGAGGCGGCCGTCCCGGGCCGCGGGCTTCATGGGGAGGGCGTTGCCAGCGGCGCGCGGCTCGGGATGGATTCCACACCCCGGCTTATTCTGGCGCGTGCCGTGGCCCATTTTACCGCTCAGTGTCACTGCCAGCCGCGAGAGTTGACACAGACGTGATTGACTCCTAAACGAGCGGCGGTCTGACGGGCTGCGACCGGCGGTGTTTGCCAGCTCGCGCGTGCGACGCCGGCGCGCAAGGCTGGAGGTCACGCGCGCCGCGCGAACGAGGTCAGAGGGCAGCCGACCCCTCTGCCAAATGGCCCCGGGCGCCGCTGGTCACCTGCCAGTCAAACGGGCTGACGCTTCAGCACGGCAAGGGGAGAGGGAGGAGAAGCGAACGTTATCTGGCACGGCTGTGGGTGACGGAGAAGCGCCAGGAATGACGCAGAGGGCCAAAAGTGTCGTTTCGACTTACCACTCCTCCCTGGGCACCGGTAGTCCGGATCTGTAGCCGACCCGCTTCGATGAAAGCGAGAAGAGAACAAAGCGGCGTTAACAGGGCGCAGACGCGACCGGTAACCTGCACACGACGCGAATCGCAAGCCCGCAAATCCAGTCCCGCACTCAGTCAAACCTTCCCACGCGTCAGGCGAGAGAGCCTGAGGCCTGCTCCTGTGGCGTAGCGCGCGTCAGCCACCGCCGGCGGTCTGACGGCCGTCGGCCCCAGCCCACTCCATCAGCGTGAGTCATGGCGCTGATCGCTGCCGGAAGTCTGTCTCCCGCCGGACCGCAGCAGCCGTCTTGCTCGCCTCGTAACTACCCGCCTCCAAACGCAGCGCCGGCGACCGCCACGAATAGTCCTCCGCGGCATTAATGGCGCCGGCCAGCGGCTATTTCGGGCGGCGGGAGGAAGCAGCGCGGCGCTCGTGGCCCGCGGCCGATGACGCCCTGGACCGGTCACGTGACCGCCGTCGCGCCTGTGACGACGTCGGGCCCGCTGCCAG